CATGAGCTATTATTGAGATTCATAAAATACGATATAATGTCTAAAATTTCAGTTTGGTTTCGTTTGTTTTAAATTTCTCGCGAAGCTGCACGAGGGCTACCTACGCTAGCCGTTCCTAATTTAAGAAGACTAGAGGGAAGGCAGCTAGTCATCACCACCCACCGCCAACTCTTGGGCTACTCTTTTACCAACGAATAGTGGGATTGACCGTCACATTATAACGCCTCCACGGCTGAAAGGGCAAGCATGTTTGGTGGGATGGAGATTCGAACCCGCGACCCTCAGATTGTGAGTTCAGCGCCCTAACCACCTGGATTTGCCAGGGCCCTAAAATTTTAGAAATCATGTTCAGAAGCAGCACAAATCCTTCCTTTAACTAAAACTAGTTTCTTTATCTGAGGGCTGGCTTGTCCTAGTAGTTAAAAAAAATCTATAAAATATTGATTTTTATTTAAAACATAGACATTTATATGGAAAAAACTTCCAGAAGAATATAAAGTTTCAGTTGCGAGACTGCATCACTTTATAAAAATATAAAGACTATTTCCTTCACCAATGTAAAAGAAGTGTTTTAATCCAAGATAGAGCTTTAGAAAGTTACACACGTGCCACACCGAACTGAAATAAAATTTCCTACAACTTCATCAAAGCTAGGTTAGCAAAAAACCGTGATTATTTCTTTTTATTTTTCTTTAGTCCTTAGATGGTATCTCATAAAAACATTATCTTGTTAGGCGTAAAACGCATTCTTCGAAGAAGCTAGGAAGGTGGTAAGTTTGATATTACAAGAAAGGATAACATTGTAGTTACATAAAGTTGACAGTATATATCTATAGATCGTGAAAGCGCATTTTACGTATTTTAGGGTTGAAAATCCGTATTAGACAAGGTAAGATAAATATAATAAAAAACAACAATTGTAGAACGTAATATTTCTCCGCATGTGATAGGCCTAACAAGAGAGACACTTTTAATCTTAAGGTTGAAAATCCGTACTAGACAAGGTAAGCTAAATATAATAATAAAAAACAATAGTTGTAGAACGTAATATTTCTCTACATGTGATACTGATAGGTC